TTTATGATATCGTCAAACATATATTTTATTCAAAAATAAAAACATCATCGCTTTCTCAAAATCACATAAAGCCATATTATAACATCGACTGAGATAAAAAATAAAATGAAATATTAAAAACACGATGTATCTCGCTGCATTGCGCGAGTACGCTTCTAGTATATTATAAAGCACTTGAGTTAAACTCTTAAAAACCGTTTCTTATGCGCAAAGTACAATTGATAAATGCACATTACTTAAAATTCAAACAAATTAATATTGCACGAGTACAAATTCTAATGCTTTATATTTATCAGTTAATTCGATATCTATATCTAGACAACTAACTGATAAACATAATCTAATATAAGATAAACATCTCATTTATTTAATTAAGTTTATTATCATTTTATCTTCAAATTTAATATATCTAAGATTTAATTAATATTTTAGTAAAACAACATTACAACAAAATTAGATTTATAGGACGTCTCCGATTTCTAAGCGTCATATTAGACTGCTTTATAAGACTTAAGTTATATGACCAAAACATAAAACGTTCTATCTACAGACGTTGTTATAAGCTTATAAGACACTTTTGTGTCTCTTGACAAGTTTTTTAAGATACTTATAAAACTAACCGTTGCATTAACTACTTTTATAGGACAGTTTTGAGAAAGTGTCCTGTAAAACCCATCTCTTTTATAAGACACTTGTTCATAAAAGACATTTTTCCAAATAGTATCATATAAAAAAACTAATATGACGTTTTTTTATAAAAATATTTTAAAAGACTTGTTACAACGCCCAAAAGCGTCTTATAAAATTTATTACAATTTCTTTAGATAAAACGTTTTATTTTTTTTTTCTATAAATTAAGTCTTATAAAGCGGTCTATTATAATGCTTATAAATTTTTGGCATCCTATAAACCAATTGTAGTCCAAATTTTAAATATAATCAAATACATGATTAACATGTTATCTATAATCCTATATTATAAATCATTTGACAAATTTTTTTAAAAACCATCTGTTATACATGAAGTACTGTTTATTGATACATATTACTTAAAATTCAAGATTATAAGTAAATTGTGTGTAAGTACAACTTACTAAGCTCCATGTTTGAATTCGTATAACTAGCTATAGATAAATATAATAAAATACAAGATAAATTCTCATTTTAAATATACAATCTGAAATATAATTAGGATAATTGTTGAGTTCTAACAGAATACTTAGTTATTATCTTTATAAAAATTATATTATTAAATATTCGTCATTAAACCTAAATTAAATTATAATTAAAAATTTTGAATTAAAGAAATTACACAAAAAATGAGAACTTTTATACTTTTTTTCAATTTTTATGATATTTTCAAATTTATATTTTATTTAAAAAAATATTATTGTTTGCTCAAAACCACATAAATCGGTATTATAACATCGAAAGAGACCCAAAAAATAAAACTAAACATTAAAATCGAGATATATTTCGCTTCATTGCAAGAGTACTATTCTAGTATATTATAAAACATTTGACAAAAACACTTAGAAACCATTTTTTATACATAAAGTACTTTTTTTATGCATATTACTTAAAATTCAACATTACAGGTAAATTATGTATAACTACAACTCATTAAAACTGCATTTTTGAATCTATGTAACTAACTACAAAAAAACACAATCAAATACATGATAAATATCTCATTTTAAATATAAGAAA